GCTCGCTAAAATTAAATTCTAGTTCTAATATAAAATTGAGATGAAATGTATGTGGCATCAAACTATTCGTAACGTGATTGGTTGAATATATCATAAGCATGAAAATATATGCAAACTCTATAGTCAAAGCGCGCGCTTGCACGCGTAAATTTGAATTCTAGTCCTAATATAAAATAGAGATGAAATATATGTGGCATCAAACTATTCGTAACGTGATTGGTCGAATATATCATAAGCATGAAAATATATGCAAACTCTATAGTCAAAGCGCGCGCTTGCACGCGTAAATTTGAATTCTAGTCCCATAATAAAATTGAGATGAAATGTACGTGAAACCAATTTATTCGTGATGTGATTGGTCGAAAATAAATATTCTCATTCTGATTGGTTGAAAGTGAATATAATATACATAAACGACACATAAATATATCATGACAATAAATATGAGGCGCGCGCTTGCGCGCGTAAGTTAAATTCTAGTTCTAATGAAAAGTTGTGTTGAAATTTTTAAGAATTTTTTTACGAAATTTTTCTTTTAATTTAAAGTTTAAGTTTTGGAACAAAATATTGTGAATAAAAAAAATTTAATTGTAATTTTTAAAAATTAAAATTTGTTTAATTGTAAGAATTTTTTTTTTTAATTTATTTTAAGTGAAATATTTTAATTTTTTTTTTTTTAAATTCAATAAAAAATTTTTGGGGTGGCTTATGAATTTTGCTAAAACTTATTCCGAGAATTTTGGAGTAATTACGACAAAAACAATTTTTTTTTATAAATTTTACTGAGATTTTATCAAATAAAATGATAATTTTTTAGTTTCACGTCACCTGGTTTTTTTAATGAAAAAATTGAAGAATTACATTTTTAAATATTTTTTATTTTTCAAATTATTCTATTTAAGTGTTGAAGCTTTTAATGTTAATAAAATTTTATTTCCACCGAAAATTATTAATAAAATAATGTATTGACATAAGTTTATTAATTAAAAAAAAAAAAATTTTTTTAATTTTTCCGCGTCAAAAAATTCAAATTTTTTTTAATTATTATATGATTGTTAAAAAAAATTATAAATATAATTTCTGGAGATAAAAATATCGTAGAACTGTGAAACTAAAAAATAACCAAACAAAAAACCCACCAAATAGAATTTATTTCTGTAAATTGACCTTCTATTACGCCCCTAAGGCATATAAATAGTCAATAAACCATTTTTACATCACATTACACATTAAACTCATTATAAATTTACATGTAAGCCTCTCAAAAATAATTCGAGTACCGACAGACGATCAATAACACTAAAATAAAGTGACATTATAAAAAATTGATTAATTTCGCACCAACTATATAATTAAATAAAAATACTGGCGAGAATTGATCCAACCAATTGATAAATAATTCATGACCGATTCTTAAAAGTTACGCTCAATAATTTCATTTTTTATCAAATTTAACAAACATGCTCAAAAAACTCCAAATTTTGACAATTTTTCTCTTAAAAATTCACTAATTTTATTTCAAAAAATTATTTTTCCGTTCAAGGAAAAAAAATTCTAAATTATTCTCCAATAAATTAATTAAAATTTCCGCAAAAAAAAATTCTTTGCAATCTAAGAAGAATATATTTGTTTGGTCCACAATAAGATAAAAAACCCAAGCAATTAATAAATATTCATGAGAAATCCTCAAAGCTTGCTATCGGCTCAATAATTTGAATTTGAATTATAATACTGGAAAAAATGTTAGGCCTTTGAATCCCATTAACTAAAAAAAGAAAAAGGCTAAAATTTCGTCTGGTGACAATGAACTCTGGAGTTCAAGCCTGGAGTCTAAGCTAAAGCTAACTCGGCATAATAAATCAGCTCGTGCATTTCAAAAGTTCGGATACTTTTTACCTCTCCCATAATGATCTTTCTTAAATTACCCGATCCCGGCCGGAGAGAAAGATTGACTCGAAGGTCAGTTTAATTTATGCCAACTTAAAAAGTAGTTTCATTTCTTGTTTATTTTTTTTTCTGAATGGATTTGCGAAACCCCGAATCCACCTGACTTACTCGCCGTTGAGCTCAAAATGTGTTCAATTTTTATTTACTTACACTTATTTGTGTTTATACTGGAATTAACACTGCTCTGGAGTCCTATCGAAGCCGCGATCCGGGGACTCGTGCTCTTACAATCTTTAGTTTCATTTATTCGCGGTGCTGCAGTGCAATGCCGTTCAGTTCCCTACTACCGATTACGATTCTCAGCTCGTGTAGTTGCGGCTTGGCTCTGCACTCGGTGAGTTCCTCGACGTCGGCCCGCCGTCAGTGATCGCCACCGGTGCCGCGGTTTTGTGCCAAGACGTCTTTAAATCCTCCATGTAGTTTTTTGATCCAAATTTTGCCCCTTGTTTTTCTCAATATTTTTTATTTTTTCTCCTAAAAAAATAAAAAAAAAAAGTGAGTGTTTTTTTTTGAAAGTGCAACAATAAAAAAAAATAGTGAAAAAAAATTTTTTTTTTTGTAATTTATTTCAGCAATTTTTATTGAAATTTATTGACAAGATTTTTATGTAATTTTTAAGTGAAAAAAATATTTAAATTTAAAATTATTTGTTTATTTATTAAAATAAAAAAAAAATGTCAGCTGTGTTGCATTTTCAAAAGGATTTCTCAAGTAAATGATAAATAATAAAAAAAAAAAATTGCCGTGAAGATATATGATAATAAGTGGGAAAAAAAATTATGTAGAAAAATTTAAAAAAAATTGAGAAGAACAAATTGTCCTGAAGAGATTCAAGGAAGATGACCAGACCGCTAGGCATGTAAAGAGCGTCGATCGATTCACTGGTGATCTATATTTTATTTATATTTGTAAAACAGTGCATGCTTTTCCGTTAGAGATAGAGAAATTTAATATTATGTATAAGTACTCGTATGTGCGTATATTTGTACGTATGTGTATAGGAGAGCGACCGTTGCTGGTTGGGTTACATAAAGACGGATTGAATCTTGTCTGCTAATATAACGAACCTGGTGCTGGTGCGGAACGCTGTAACTCGCAGAGAAGCGTTTGGATAACTTATGTAAGTCTACATGCCGAGATTCAAGAGACCGCCTTTCTCATCTTGCTCGATATTTATTGAACCAAGCTGCTGATATGTCGGGTTTATCGGTTCTAGGTTTTATTTGGGAAGATCATTGTTGGGTGCCGGGTTTGTTTTGTTACCGAATAGGAAGATTATACTTTGCAACGGAAGTGTGAGTCAGAGTTTTAATGTCTGTTTGTTGGCTTGAAAAAATGTTGGAAGCGGTTTTTGTGATTTGGAGAGAAGTTTTTAAGTTGGAATTTTTTGAGGAAATTTGAAGGTTTTCTTTTAGTTTGGAGGGAAGAAATATTTTGGAAAAAATTTATTTTAGATATTTAATAAGATAAAATTTTATTTAAAATTTATTTTAGAAGTTAAAATTATTGGAAATTATTTTTAAAAGTTGAAATTATTAAAAATTTTAATTTAAATTTGTAAAAAAATTGAAATGATTAAAAATTATATTTTAAGCTTGTGAAAAAAAATTATTTAAAAATTTTTATGATAAAAACAAATAAAAAATTTAATTAAAAAAATTTTTATATTGATAATTAATGATTTTTTTTAAATATAAATAATAATTAGAACTTTTTTTTATTTAAATAATTTTAATAATTTAAAATTATTCTATAGTAAAAAAAAAAGTTCTAATTATTATTTTTATTTAAAAAAAATCATTAATTATCAATATAAAAATTTTTTAATTAAATTTACTAGGTATAGAATAATTTTAAATTCAACATTTATTAATTTAAAATTACTTTAATAATTATATTAAAAATACTTTAATAAATTAAAAAAAATTTTATCACTTTACTAAACTTAAAATTAAAAATTGAATTTTTAGTTTAGAATTTTAGAATTTAAAAAATGACCATTTTTTGCTAAATATTTTATATAATATGCTTTTAAATCATAATTAAAATACAAATATTCTTCTTAACATAATCATGAGAATTAAAAAAAAACTGAATCAATAAATCATTTTCGACTAATTATATTCAAACAACTACCCAAAAAATTCCAACAAAAATTTGCATAAAAAACAACTTAATAACGATTGCAATCAATATTAGAATACCGTTTAAATGGCTAGTGGTGAAGATAAATAAGGATTAGAATAATGTCGCATAACAAATGGAAGGAACTATAAAAAAAAAAAAAAAAAAAAAGGAGAAAGACGACAGGTTGATAGAAGAAATATTCGAATCTATTAAGTGAATGGGCGAATAAATGAATAAAAAGCATGTATAGTGAAACCGTTAAACAATAACGGTGATAAAACTATCCACCATGAAGAATGTAGACGTTAAGGTTCCTTATGGCTTGTCAATTGATGACATGCAACAGAATAATCAGGCATTGACCAGTACGGTGAAATTCGCCATTTGCCATTTGCCCGTTGATAAGCAGGACGAAATGGTTAGCTTCTGGAAAAAGTCGCTCATCCATTTCTTCCCACAATTTTATAATTATACTACCTCAGTTCTTCAATTTCTTATTACTTATTTATTTATAAATAATATAAAAAAATATTCAGCTATAGTTTTTGCGATATTTTTATTAATTGCTTATTTTTACGCTCTACTTTTCCGGGTATCAGAGCAGAAAAATTCATTTTCATTGACTTTAATATAATAAATATTTGACTAGAAAATTTTTTTTTTAATTTTCTGATTAAAAATTTATTGTAAAAAAATAATTAATGGAAAAAAGGAATAATTTGAAATTAAAATTTTTTTAATTGAAAAATTTCATTATTCATTATACTGAGTATGATATTTTCTTAAATGTTTAATTACTTGGTCTCTCATGTCTGACTGCATAAAAAGTAACTACTGAGAAGTGTTTCTCGCAGTTATAAATTTTCCTGCTAATCAACTAACACATATTATTTTATATCAACATTTTTCTTTTTGTCTCTGTGACAGAAAGCGCTGTAATAAAAATTTTTTAATTTTTATTTTTCTTAATTGTAATTTTTCTTAATTTGAGACAAGAAATTTAAAGATTTTTTAATAAATTCTTATAAAAATTAATAAAAATTTTTTTTTACAGATTTGAAGCAGAGCGCTTTGCACGATTACTTGCAAAAAATAAATAAATGTATCTGTGATACGTAAAGTGAAAAATAATTTTACTTACACATGAATTTTCGCACTGAGGAATTATCGATTTAATTTTTTGAAGAAAAATTTAAATGTGGAATACCAGTTGCAGAAAACAATGTTGGGTGAGGTGACGTGAAAGGTGCAATCGACCAGTGTTACTCGTAATTTCTACAAAACACAAAAATTCAATTACTATAAATAAATTAATCTCCCAATAAAGCGGACTTAAAAATTTTCCAAGTGATTTTGCGGGTGAAAGAGATAATTTTATAAATATTGTGTATTTTTATCGAATTTACTGAGGATTTATATAAAAATGAAATTCATCACGTCCTTGTTCGGGGTCGGATCCCCCAAAAAAATGGGCAGACAGTACATGAAAGTAGGAAGAAATGCGCTCTTTGGTATCAGGCCCAATAGAGAAGGAGAGCCGATGTGCGCAGAACGAGTTCCTCGACCTATGAATGTCTTCATTTCGAAAAAAGGAAAACTTAGACACGGTAAGTCTTTTTTTTCTTAAATATTATTATTAATAATTTATTTGGATGGAAATTTAATATTAAAATTCGATAAGTTGAAATAATTAAAAAAAAGCTCAATTTATTGCTGTAAATAATTGTCAATTTTTATCAAATAGAATTTTAGAATGCATCAATAATTCATCCAAATAGGATAGAAGTACCGTTTTTGGCCAGTTAACATTTGAATTAATTTATAAAAAGTTATAATATAATAACCATATTTTTGTTGAGTTTTAAAAAATTTATATTAAAAAAAATTGAGTTTGTATTGGTTTATTAACATAAATTCATTTCTATCGTTTATTTGAACAATAAATGGCCATAAAAGCTACAGTGGCCACAAACGGTACTTCTACCCTAATTTTTTTTACTACCCCCATGAAAAAAAAATATAAAAAATATATATTTTGAAATATATTTTAAATATATAAAAAATCTATAAAAAATATTATAAATATATAAAAAATATGTAGAATAAATATATTTTTAATAACTCTAATTTTTCGCCGATTTTCATATATATTTTATATATTTCAAAATATATTTTTCTTATATTTTTAGCTATGTATTTATTATGTATTTTAAAAATATATCTTGAATATATCTAAATATATTTAAAATATATATGAAAATCGGCCAAAAGTTAGTTATTATAAATAAATTTATTATATATATTTTTTATATATTTATATATCTTTTATAGATTTTTAATATATTTCGAAATATATATTATTTATATTTTTTTTTCATGGGGGTAAAATAAAATAATTATTAAAAATTAATTTTTCCTCTCAACATTGATAATTTTTGAAAAACTATTTTTTGTAATTAAAAATTACTGATTTTGCGGACTATAATTATTCTAATTAATTTTGAATACTTATTTTTTAATATATAATTATTAATATTAAAATCTTACTCACGTCCAGAAAAATAATAAATAACTAAAATTGGTCACAGGAATTCAGGACAATAATTTCGAACTAAGTGTTGATTTTAGTTGAACGTTTCGTCCTTTTATTAAGACTTCCTAAGCAACAGCTGAGGTATTACTTTTGATGTCGTTGTGGATGGACTAAATAATTCTGTGATAATTAGTAGAAAAGTTAATTGTTAAGTCTTATAATATGCACACTAATACTTTATATGTTTCAACAATAATATATTTTAAACCGTGAATTAGTATGATTAAGTTGCTGAGGAAGTCCTAATAAAAGGACGAAACGTTCAACTAAAATCAACACTTAGTTTGAAATTATTGCCCTGAATTCTTGTGACCAATTTTAGTTGTAATTATTAATTTTTTTAGAAAAAAGTTTTTTTAAAAAAATTAAATATTAAAAATCAATATAAAATTCGAATTTAATTATTATTAGCTCTAGGCAAAATTTCTTCAAGCGAGAAGATTTTTATTTCATGCGCCACCTAGCGGCGCTCTATGAACTACATCTGTATCCCCTTTTTTTTATCCACTAGCATTTTATCGGCAAAAAATTTTACAATACAAATTAAATTATTTCAAATTTAAAATTATCAAAATAAAAATAAATCCCTAATTTTTTTTAATTAAAAACCGCAATTAAAATTCTTAAAATTCTATTTTTTACATTAAATTTTTGCAACTCTAAAAATCATTACAAATTAATAAAAAAATGAACATTTTCAAAGAGCCATCAGATAAAACAATAAATAATAGAAATATACAAGAATTATCACAATTACAAGATATAAATGATAATACAATTAAGCAAGATGAATTAACTCAGTAAATCTTCTAATGATGGGCCATTAAAGTTATTCCGAACGGTGAATGTGAATATATCGCACATACACCTCTCGGTAGCATCTTTTTATACTGTGCTCATAAACCGTGACACGTGTTCAGAGTACCAAGCTTAGTTTTACGCACATGTTGATTAATAGATAGATAACGTCCGACTAATGCATTATCCTCGTTCAAATAGTTGCACATTTTGTTGTTTTTAATCTATTACTTCTTTTAAATTAATAATAAATGAAAACTATAAATTAAAAAAAAAATCTAAATTTTGTTCTGTTGAAATCCAAAGTTTAGATTTGACCACAAAAATTCATTAAATTGCCAGAAAAAAATGCAGTTTCCTTACGAAGGATTGCAGCCTTGACCTATTCTTTGAGAAATACAGATCATCGGGCCTTTAAGAAGTATATACATATATAAGTTAAGTTAAAGAGCTGATGATCAAGAGACAAGACTGAGGGAAAGCAGTGAGACACAAGTGTATGTCGTAATAATGTACTGATCAACTTTTTGAATGCCGGTTAGTTATATATATATGACGTAATTGAGGTAATAAATCGGCCGAGAAAACCAGAATAATCGTAAAACAAAGTATTTATTTTTTTTTTTTTTTAATAAATTTACTGAGAAATTTTTGAGAAAAAAAAATATTAACTGATCAAATTTTGCTATTAATTTTTATTATTAATATGTAAGTTAAATTTTATGTATAATTATAATTAAAATTTACTATTTTTAAGCACATGTGCAATTGCATCTATTTTTTATTAAAAAATAAAATTAAAATAAAATGAAATTTTATAAAATTAAAAATAAAATAATAATTGATATTAAATTTGAAAATAATTTAAGAGGTTCATTAAAAAAAAAAAAAAAAAAATTTCAAGTGGAAATTAATTTTTATAATGATGATTTTTAATAACAAGAATAATAATAAGTGGAATGATACTTTTAATAACTCAATATTAAATAAAGTATCGGCAATCCACTTGATTTGCACAATGACGAACTGGAGATTGAGTAGTTATATTAAACAAACAAAAAAACCAGATGGATAAGTTAAGAGGAATTCCGGTTTGGTTCTATGCCGTCACAGTTCTTGCCTGATGACTTGCTTTATTTGGATAAGCCACTCATTTAAGTATCGTTTAATACAATATAATATTGAAATAGAAATTAATAAGAGCTTAGCTGCTGCTACTTAAGATTTAGTATTGTCAATTTCTTTGCTAAAGGCTACTTTCTGTCGAGATTTTATTGGATTGCTGGTTTTATTGAGTATTAGAAAATTATCGGGCTGATGGTAATGGTCTTGAGAATCGTTAAGTTAATTTGATGGTCAGGAGTCATGCTTGTGGTTAACCATAATGTTAATTTTCTTTACAAATCAATTTTTGTTAGACGTTGCAAAGAATTTTTTTTTTTTTAGAAATTTTAATTATATTATTTTAACTAATTTATTGAAGAAAAATTTTGAATTTTTTTTCCTTGAAAAGAAAAATAATTTTTTGAAATAAAATTAGTGAATTTCTAGAAGAAAAATTGTTAAAATTTGGAGTTTTTTGAGCATGTTTGTTAAATTTGATAAAAAATGAAATTATTGAGCGTAACTTTTAAGAATCGGTCATGAATTATTTATCAATTGGTTGGATTAATTCTCGCGAGTATTTTTTTTTATTTAATTATATAGTTGGTGCGAAATTAATCAATTTTTTATAATGTCACTTTATTTTAGTGTTATTGATCGTCTGTCGGTACTCGAATTATTTTTGAGAGGCTTACATATAAATTTATAATGAGTTTAATGGGTAATGTGATGTAAAAATGGTTTATTGACTATTTATATGCCTTAGCAATCATATAATAATTTTTTAAAATTTCAATTTTTTGACGCGGAAAAATTTTTAAAAATTGACTTTTGGCATTATTACACAATGTTTTGACTTGAAGTCACGAAAATTTGGAAAAAAAAAATTTATAATTCCCAAAGTTATAGCTTGTTTGTGTTGACCCAGTTCCAAAAAAAGGTCCTTGCGGTGACTATCATAAGTCCTTGGAGATTCATCAAAAATCAATCGGATGGAAAAAATTAGTTTTGTAAATAGATTATTTTGGGCCTGATCGAAGCCTTTTTTTCAAAAATTAACAAAATGGCGGCCTCAGGAAATTTTTTTCTAAATTTTCGGGAAAAAATCAACAGTTAATTGGTCATAAAAAATCGAAATTTTTGAAAAAAAAAAAAAAATCCTTCGATCAGGCCTGAGTTTGTTATGTATTCTAATAGCTGTATAAATGTCATTAAAATCTACCGAGCGGTTTTTGAGTTACAGTAGTCACATTTAAAGTTTCACATTAGATTTATGTACAGTAATACGCTCTTTGTTATTTGTCGAATAACTCGAAAAGTAATTATCGGATTAACTTCAAATTTTCAGAGAATATTTTTAAGATATTATAAGGTAAAAGACCCCATTAGTGGCACCTTTAACCCCTATTAGTGGCACTTTTTCTTTCAATGAAAAAATGTTCTATTTGGCATAAAAATTAAAAATTTTTTTGATCTAAAGGACTTTAAGATTAGAAATAATATATTCATTATTGAAATTAATGATTTCATTAATTGAATAAGAACCAAAATCAAAGAAAGTGTCAGTAATTGGGTCCCCGCCACTAATGGGGTCTTTTACCCTACTTAAAAAAAATGCAAAAAAACAAAAATTGATTTTTTGAAAATCCTGACTACCCCTAGCCCCTTAAATTGTTTTTTAAAGTGATAATAAATTTTGAACTAATTTTTTTTTCGTACAAATGGATAATTTTCTAAAATGGAATTAGACAATTTGCTAATTAAAACGTTGATGTGACACCCGACCTTTCCCAAGAATCATTAAAAAAAAAAACAAACAAAACAATATTATCCCCGATTGGAGGAAAAAAATGACTTTGCTAGCAATTGCAATAAACAAAAGACTAGTAGTGTCTTTAGCATTATCTAAACACCTATAAATAGCAAGCGAGATAGCTTAAACGAGCTAATGAGTAATAAAGCTTCGAGAATGTCACATTGATTTCAAAACTCCCGAGTTAAGTCGCAGGGAAATAATCGGTCAAATAATATAATAAAAAAATAAATAAATAAAAAATCAAAGGATTCAATAAAAATAGGATTATAAAATAGATAATAAAAATATCTAGAATG